CACCACATACCAACAAAGATGTTGTGTCCGCCGAGAACTAAAAAATAAATATTAAAAATTCTCTCTCTCTCTCTCTCTCTCTCCTCTCTCACTCTATCTTTAAAAAAAAAAAAAGATAGAGCAAGGAAGAAATCTATTCTCAGTTTTTTGTTTTAAATAGGTGGATAAGAGGTGATCAGAGGGAATTTTTGAAGAGAAATTAGTAGTGGGAGGGATATGTAATTACTGAAGTTTTGAATTTGTGAGATAGGCCAAGAAGAAAATTTATAGACTTCTGTTTCTGCAACATGGTGAACAATTTTAGAAAACATTTTAATATGAAGCCCGTAGGAATGTTAACAGGAATACTGTTAAAAACACTTGTAGGGCTGGTGTTACTGCTCAGTGATAGAGTGCTTGCCTCACACGTGCAAGGCCCTGGGTTCGATCCTCAGCACCACATAAATAAATAAATAAATAAATAAATAAATAAATAAATAAAGTTATACAAAAAATAAATACACTTGTGAGCTTGAAATCTCTAAAGTCAGAGCAGAATAATCATGCAAGTAGAGAGCTAAGCAAATGCTGAGGGCATCAGTTGTACTGGGAGCATCACCTACTCTAGGTGAACTAGAGTTCTGGTCTGGAGATGGAGATACAGGGACCAGGAGCAAATCTTTGGGCTCGGATTGGGGAGTTAGAGTGCAGATTTCATAAATCCAGGAACTATAATCTTACCCTCTCTTGGAGGGTGAATTAGAAAAAATTTTTTACCTGAAAATGCAGAGAGCAGAGAAAAGCTGCCTTTCCTTGGTTCTGATTGGAGGAAAGAAAGTCTTTGAGAATATGTGGTTAAGGACCAGTCCACATGTGGTCTGGATCCTGAATTAATACTGTCTGAGTGTCTGAAAAGATTACATGTTACAAATTTAACATTTACCTAGTTGGTAAGACCTGCAGTGCTTGGTAGAAATAAACACAAATCCTCACTGGAGGAAGATTCCCCCAACACAGGCCTCAAAAATCCCTACAATCTTTTGATTAATATGAACTTGCAGAAAAAAATTGTAATTTTTTTTTAATGCATAGAGGAATACCTTAAGTGAGTCAGCACAAGAAACCACATCTAAAAAGAATGCAGATCCTGGAATTTTCAGATATACAATATAAACATAAAATAGGTGTAAACCTAAATATAAGTCAGTTGTCTGGTCAGGGATCAGAATGTCTTTGAAGAAGTAGTTTATGCCTGGCAGTCTTCATCTATAGACTCATGAGAAATAACTGTTTACTGAGGAAAGATATTCGTTTCTCTGGAGACCTATTGAGTTGTCAGGGTCACTTCTCAATGGGGCTGGATATTTAGGTCCTAGGATCTTAAGCACCTTTGTATTAGGCTTCTCCACAGCTGTGTACCTGATGCTTAAGAACCCCCAAACAGCCATTTCTAGTGTTGTTCCAAGGCTTTTATTGGTGTCTTTTTAAGTTTCCCAGTTTTATACATTGCTGGAAGTGATAGAAGGCTCAATATATCCAATTCTAACACTTTCAGAAATATAATTTGTATAAGAGAATATGAGA